TCTTCTTCTCCATGCTTTAACCATTTAATTTTGGATCTTTGAATGGTCCAAGAAGCATGCAAAGAGTTGTAGTAGTTAATGTTAGCTTTAATTCTTTTAAGATCTCCACACAACTCCTTGTTAAGAGGATCATTGTCAATCATTTTTTGACACATCTCTTGAGAGGCAACTAAGGAAGAACACTTGTTGGAAATGTGATTGGAAGAATTCCAATTTCTAGTTTTAAACTCCCTTTTAAGAAGTTTCAGCTTCTTATAGAGGCTAAGAATAGGATTACCATTGTCCGGTAATTGAAAAATGTATAAAAGAATGCTCCAGAAATCTGGAATGTGGCTCCAATAATTTTTATACATGAACCTCTTAGGATTCTTCGTACTAGGTACATCTTTAAGAATAAGCGGAGAGTGATCAGAGACAAGACTGCTCAAAACATTATAGTGAGAGTTAGGGAATTGATTGATCCAATTTTCATTCACTAAAACCCGGTCCAGCTTAAGATGAATAGGATTGTCTTGCCTTTGATTGAACCATGTATGGAAATAACCCGTGGAGGGAAGATCAACCAAGTTATTGTCAAATATAAAAGAGTTGAATGGATACAACCTATCCATATTGATAATATTCCCTCCTTTTTTCTCAGATTGTAGTCTGCAAGTGTTAAAGTCCCCAATTACAGCCCAAGGCAGAGCACCATGTGGGTTAACTTCCCCCAATTCAGCCCATAACTTGTTTCTTTCATCAAAGGAATTGGAAGCATATACAGCAGAGAGAAGCATGATATTTTGAGTTCCCATCATTAACTTACCAGTAATCATTTGAGGAGAAGAAGAGATAGGATTAAACGAGATCTTTTCAGAATTCCATTTAATCCAAATGCGGCCAGGAGTGGCAAGATCAAAGTTATTAAAGCTGAGTTCATTTTCAAAAACTTTGTGAGTTGAACAGAACCAAGGGTCTTGAAGGTTAGAAGAGAGGATACGGTTTTCAAGAATACAAATTAAGTCAAGCTTATGCTCTTTGACCAGATTTCTGCAACAAAATACTTTGTCCGGGTTATTGAAACCCCTAATATTCCAGGCTGCCAAAGATGGACAGTTCATAAGAAACTTAAGATTTTTGATTAGGGCCTTTACGGTTGCCCTTTCCCCTAGTATTCCTATACGAAGAATTTTCTATTGAATTCATCATTTTGGTATAAGATTTACCAAGATTTTCTTTCTTATTCTTTCCAGAATACCCAATGGTTTCTTACATTCCCTCATTGTGATGGGATGAAGAGGAGTCATCTTCATTTTCATCTTGAAGCGCGCTAAACTTGTTAGCATAAGTAACTCCATTCTCTTTCTTTCCATCAGAATTATGCTTTATGGAAGCAGATGTAGAGGAGGTCAAAGACGTAGGAGAATTAAGATTAGGGATGTTATTGCTTGCCCCAGCTAAATTAGCTATCGGAACAATATTATCAGTTAAAGGGTAGTTCTCAATGCTCATTTTGTTATTTATTTTCTCTGTGCTAGGCTCAGCCCCTTTTTTAGTAGAAATATTCTTATCCTTATAATGCAAAGCTGAGCTATTAGGAAGATCCATTTGATTGGTGACCACAGTAGGAGCACAATCCGAGGTATGAGTCATAACATGTTCAGTATTATCCGGGATAATTTCCCGGTGATTATCAGTTAAATCAACCATAACATTATTCTTGGCGGAAGAATTAGGAATAGGGAGAAGACCTTTAGGATTTAAGGAGTGGGGTCTAGGTCTACGACTAGTGCTTCTCCCCCTAGGAGGATTAGGGATATCGTTAATTTCAGGGTTAGGATTAGCAGAGCATTTTGAAGAAGGATGATTAAGCGAACCACAAAACTCACAGAAGGCGGGACGCCATTCATATTGAATTTTTAGGTTAAATAGTTTGCCTTCAACACATATAGGAACGGTTTCGGGGAAGGTTGCTTTGGCATCAACTTGAACACAAACCCTAGCATAGGTAAGTCTGGACTTAGAAGCAGTGAGAGCATCAACCGCAAGTGGATGACCAATTTTCGTAGCAATTTTAGAAATACCGACAGGCGTCTAACAGCATAAAGGGAGATCGTGAATCTTAAACCAGATCGGGACAGATGTTAGTTCTTCACGGGTAGGGGAAAAGTGCGAATTCCATTTTTGAAAAATAAAGGGTTTTCCAAAAATAAACCATGCACCTCTACTCCAAACCAGATCATAATCTTCCGCGTTGGAAAATTTGAACAGAAAAAAACCTTCGCTAAGAGAGATAAGTTTCAGACTACCTTTGAGATTCCAGATCTTTTTGACAGAGTTAAGGAGTGCCTCATAGTAAGGACGCTTACCGAGAGAGTAGCCAACAAGCGCCAGATCCCATTCATTTACGGCTTCTGTGATATCTTCAGAAGGAAAATTGATGATTTCTTCTTCCGTTGGCAAGGGGGATATCATAAACTCACATGCATTAGAAGTTGGCCCTGAGAGGATGCGATCCCACGATCTTGTAGATTTTCCTTCAGCAGAAGCAGCGCGAGGAATAAGAGGGTGGGCTAGAGGAGGAAAATCTTCCTCCAAGACGGAGGGATCCATCGGAGCGGATCCCTCCGAACACAAGACGAAGCACCGAACAAATCTCCAAAAACCCTAACCCTAGCAGAGCTCTTGAGAGAAAACTTTCTAAAATAAAAATGTGGATATGTTTATAAAGAATCTGTATTGTTGCTCCTTGGTATGTTTCTCCAAAAATCTTTAATCTAAATGGCATAACTTTCTAGAAAAACTCTTCTGTCTATTCTGAATGTTGTAAACTTTCATCTTCAGGTGCAATTTTAATTTGATTGTATCTAGATTAGCCAGCCATAAAACTAAATATTGTATTAGTGTAAGAAATATCATCCATCAGTTATAGGCTGGGAAGTAAAAGCTCATACTTGGAATAAGCTTTATTTAGCCTTTTATATTCAATGCACACATGAATATGACCATTCTTCTCTCTTAATGAGATGATGGTGGTCAAGCAAGTATAATATTTCTTTTCCTTAATGAATTAAGAATTAATGAATTTCTTAACTTTATCTCTTTGTTTGACCTTGAGTCCCGTCCGTCAAGGTTTTATTTATTTATTTATTGGAACAATTCTAGTATCATGAGATGGTTAATTATATATTGAATTCTTTTTTATTAACTTCTTAAAACAAAGAAGGGAAAATTAAAAGTTGTACAACGTTGAAGGTTTAAGGAATTTAGACCCCCAATTGGAAAAAATAACCATTTTAATTTTAGCCTTATCTTCCTCTTTTGAGACTATGAATTCTTGACTAACTTGTATTTCTCCAAGCTCTCTTGTCGAAACTATATTTTCTTTTCCTCATTCGGAGTTACAAAATTAACCTCGATTGGACTTAAAGTTAAGCAATACATATTATTAAGATTTATTTCATAAGAATTGGATAAAACGGCATCCCACCCATCTTCAACTTTTAAAATAGAAGGGGTTCGATAAGGCTCACTAATTATACATTTAGTGGATCCCCTGTTCGTATGGTCTAAATATTCGTTGGGTATGAGAATTGACCAACTTTAAATATTATTTTGAGCAATTCCTGAAATGTTATATAAATTCTAATTCATGATTTATCATCAGATGATAGGGGCAATATTTTAGTTTCCCTGATTTAACCATATCTTTATAGTTCCAGGATTTGGATGTTTAAACTCATGCTTTTAAAAAAGGTTTTTAAAGATTATTTTAATAGATTTAATTTAAAATCAATAAATTTTACTTTTAAGTGATTTGAATCACTCCCTTTTCTCTTCAAGAGAGATATTTGACAAGGATTTAAGTTATTAATCATTATGCAGTCTACTAAATTGTAGATACCTAGTTGGCTGACTTGGATTTTCAACATTTATTTGTATCAGTTGCTTTCACTTATTAAATTTAAATGCAAAATTTGATTTCTTTTACTGTATTTTTTGATGCTTTGACAATTTTATATCTGTTGAAGACAAATCTTTTGAGAAAGATTATTAAGAAGCTTCGTATTGATGATTAAACGCTTTGGATAAAAAAAATTCAAAAGTTTTAATTATAAAACCCTTGTGTAAAAAAGCCACTTAAACATGGATATTTTTAGAAGGATATATATAGAATGATGTTCTTGCAAAGGTTCCTCCATCTTCAAAAGTAATCTTTAAATCTTTCACCTTTTTTTTTCACAATTAGTTTCGTAATGGTGATATGGTGTTTCCCTCCTACAAATCTTTTGATAAATATGGTTTACAAAAAATTAAAGGTATAAACTATAACTATTGGGTAATTTAGCATACCAATCAAATGAGATACAAGATTAGTTGCTAATAAATAATTTCAATAATAGTGCTTCATTTCCATCAACGTTATAGTAATTTGCTCTAAAATACATTAGATGTTGTTTGGGATTTCAAGTGCAATAAAATTTTTTAATGAAGGTGGTTCAAACACACCAAGTAATATATTTCTTGGAAAGGTCTACTCCTTAAACTCATGAATTGTCTTGAGATTGAGCTAATACATGTTTAACTTATTATTCTACCATGTGCTTTATATTGAATGACTAAGTTAATTATTTTTCTGTCTTGTTTAGTTTATTCTCAAAAATTTTTTTATTAACTTCTTTAGCTATGTTCATTTCCACCGACTCACAAGTAGTGACTCAA